AGCCTCTGGCAGCGCTCAAACTGTAACAGACTGCTGCTGATATGTGTTCAGGTTTCTATTTTCTGGGAGGGCCAAATAATAAGGATGGGTTTCAAACCCCTGCAGGAGTAGCACCAGGCGGCATATAGACAGAGGTGATGGGACGTCAAATAGTGATGTCGGCAAAGGCATGAAAACAAAGGAGAAAGCATGCTATCAGATGCTGGAAATGTCAGGCTTGCAATGCACACTTGCTTTGATCTTCAGTGAAACAACCAGGAGAAGCAGAGCGACCTGTTAAACAACACTTCCACGTCTGCCTGGGTGTGATGGGAGCAGCTTCCCTGCTGCCACATCTGACTTGTTTAAGCTACTCTGTTTATGTAGTCACATTCACAAAGTTTGTTTAATTATGCTGTTCCCTCTCATTTTCTCATTTCTATCCCTGTGCTTCATTTTCAGCTCCCCCAGCTGCTCTACATCAAATTAATTAATCACACCTGTTGTTTGTACGGTAATTACTTCCTCCTAGTTTGTGTGTAAACCCTCCATCTTCTCTCAGTGTCTCTCAGGCCCTCCTTTATCCATGCCTTTTTAAATTTATGCCTTTAAAAAGGCATAAATTTTGCATTGCCATTATCAAAAACATATTTTTTTGTTTGCTTTTAAAAAAATAAAGAAGTCAGTCAAACATATAGCCATGTTTTGTTAAAGAATAGCTTGAATATACACTGATAACTATCCATAAACATGGCAGTCTTACTACACATTATAAATGAATGAATGGATGTCTGGACTTTGACTTGGCCATTGTTTGCTGAGAATTTGCACTTTGTGTTGAGTTGTGTGTTTAGCCTGTTAGAAATTGAATCTCCATCCCAGTCGTTGCTCTTTTGCAACCTGTAACTGTTTTGCTTTTCAGAGTTTTAGCTGCATCTGATTAATTCAATGCTTCCACTCAGCTATACTGAATGGGAGCACACTGTGTGTGGGAATCTTGTGTTCAGGATTTATTTCACCAACATACAAGGCTTTGCATGGGGGGCAAAAAGGTTTTCAGTTAGGAGCATCAGGGAAGCAGGTATGTGGGGTTTAATTAATGTAAAAAAACGTGTATCATTATTATTTTTTCCACTTCACAACTCTTTCTGTTTTGGTGTATGGAAAAAACTCTTAAAAAATATATTAAAGTTTTTGGTTGTGAAAAGACCAAAATTTGGAAAGGCTCACAAGTTATTTAGACTTGTGAATAACCTGAATTATTCTCTAAGTGTAAAGTTCCACAAATAGCCTGTATCAGTAATTATTACCCCCTGCCTCCTCTATAGACTATTTTTAGTTTACTGATATTTGCATGACGAGGCAGGGGGAAGGGTGTGGAGTTTGCCACATTATAGGAAGGAGAAGACTCTGCATGGTGTACTTCTATTTAAAGATCTGCTTTCACGAGTTCCACTTTATTCCTTTGATAGCTGCTGTTTGACTTGAGCTCATTGTAGCATCGTTTTCAGAGATAACAGTCAAATGAGCCGTCACACCAAACCGAGGTTTCCACCTCGCCCTGCACAGCCATCTTGGTGGAAAGAAAAGTCAATATACGTGCCTCCTTAGCTTCAAGGAGTTCAGATATGAAAGCCTTTTCATATTCATCACTTGGTCACGTTACACCCATTCATATGCAGAGGCTTACACACACTCCTCTGGGGAAATTAATATGGAACAACTCAGTGAGATGGGAGTGTAGTAGCAGTCAGACACATGGTGGGTCAATATAGTGGGTGGGATGCAATATGAGTGGTAATCTGCATTATAACCAGGCAAGTGTATCACAATGTGGTCATTGTAATGGCTGCAAGGAATGAGCTCTGCTCATCTATGAAAAATGAAATGATGATAAACAAAATGCTCTGCATTAAACTGTCACAAACATGAAGGATGCTACTTTGCAATGTGCACGTTTTTACAAACACAGTGTTTCTTTCCTGGCTGATGAGTTTTCTATTAGCTTGAAACACAGAGTATTTTAACACATTGTACAGTAGCGGTTTTACTAATTTGTCAGATAAAACACAGCCCAGAGATAGAAAAATGAGGCAGAAGATAAAGTCAGTGGCTCATGGAGGTTAATTTAGTTTCAGAGAAATTTGAGGAACATACACAATGGATTCAGCACCACGGACAGTGACATCAAGATCCAGACGGTCTGCAATTGTTTAGAGCCTCTGATTAATCCCACAGCTGCTGACACTTGAAGAAGTCATAAAGTTAGGATACAAACTGTTGAAGTTAAAGATAGAAGAGGTGGTGATAAAATAAATCTGGGACGAAGTGTTGATTTGTAGAGATTCTCAACAAGACGGTAAGAGGGAGCTTCCTTCTTGTTTTCTGGTGTGTTTCCTCATTTACATTACATTTTAACAGTACATTTATCAAAAATGCTGACATACATGCCCTGTTTCTCATTTTTGCATCGACAGTACATGTGTAAAGTGCAGTGTGCATTTTCACCGTTTGCTGCAGTTCACAGCTCTACAATTCCTATATGGCACATCTGAGGCTGAATTTAACATTTTTGAAAAATACCTCAAGCTGAAATTTCTGCTCAAACATTTGCATCTCTTGCCACAGATTCTCAAATGGATTTGTGTCTTTGATGTAAAACATTTCACTGCAGGGTCTGATGGAAGGTGAACTCAGTTTTTGTCTCATCTGACCAGAAAGCCTTCCACAATTTTCCTTACAATTCATATTTTGTGTGCTACTTTATGTTCTGTCGCATATACATAAAACATATAATAACAATAACACTGAAGTTTGGTTGTAATGTAATAAACAGTGGAAATGTCCAAGGGATATGAGTTCACTTGCGAGGCATTATTGCATCTGCGTTGAACTCGACATCAGATTCTCACCTAACCATTCATACCAGGAAATTATAAGGAGAAAAACAGGGCTTTGTGTAAATATTTTAGAGAAAGAAATATCTCCACATCAATACTATTCGAATAATCTTGACACAAGAGACTTAAATCAGAGATGCAGTCATAATGACATTCTATTTATTCTGATGTGTGGGAGGGTGTACTGTTTGGCCTTTTGCTCGCTCCGTCTTCATTGGAAAGTTCAGCTGACAGCCGAGCAGAAATAGACATATCAAAGCACATCATTCATTAGAAGAATCAAGGGCTGAGTATTAAAGAGAAGTCAGATAGAAAGATCACACACACTTGTGTGCTATCAGTTGCTGTACTGAATGAGTAAATGTGCTGTTTATGCTCTGCTCTCCATAAATCTCTGCTATGCGGATCAACACAATACGGATCTCAGTGACATTCAAAACCACTTGAAGATCTTTAATAATTGATGAGCTGAAAAGTGGATCTTTTTTTTTTCAGCTCTGAAACGATCACAAGACATCGTGCTCCCAGGGTCAAGATTATGCAGATTCATTATTTCTATTTTTAGAGCATAAAAATAAACATTTAAATAACACATTTACATATTTTGTAATGCATTCTCTCTTTGTTGTTCACAGTATTTAATGAAGTTGATTCTTAAAAGGTTTGTTTTTACTTTGCGTACAAACTGAGTCATATTTTTAGTCATCAGAAAACCTTGGGGGAAGAAATCGGCTCTTAATGCCAAGACTGAGTACGGACTCAACAGTTGGTGACACTTCAGCGTTTTATTGCCCGCAGGCCAGAACCAAAAGAATGACTCAGATTTGCTGTCTAGGTTTTTATCTTTAGACTTTGCAGTGCAAATCATTTGCTTTGGCAGTATACACACAATAAACAGATGGTTAGAAATTAAGAGATAGATATTGTTTCTCCTCTCCTTGGGCTGCCACCTTATTGTGGTGGAGGGGTTTCATCTTGTTCACCAAGAACGGGAGATCAACAGGCGGATCAGCGCAGTGTCTGCCGTTGAGCGGCAGCTATACCGGTCCATTGTGATGAAGAGAGAGCCGAGTCAAAAAGCGAAGCTCTCAATTTACCGGTGGATCTATGTCTCCAGCCTCTGCTCCTTCACATCGAGAGGAGCCAGTTGAGTTGGTCAGGTGTTCCGGGCACGTCCCACCGGGAGAAGGCCCCGGTTATCACAACAACTCTTATCTCTTAAGGCAAAGAACAGAAGGAAGCATTTACAAGACAAGAAAGCACACAACCTGCTGCTGAATAGCAAAACAGATTAAATGAACAAGAACAAATATTTTATTTGAAGGTACTGCAGTGAAATGTGACCAATATTGTCACAGACTGTTGAAAACACACCATTCTGACCGTGAAACATAAATAAAGGTTGAATATCGAGACAACACTGCTAAACATTTAATCAGAACTACAGAAGTCTGGTTTAGATTAAATCATAATTCAGGTCAAAGACTCACAGCTGTAATGGTTCTACAGAAAATAAATCAAAACATGTTCTTTTAAAAAAGAATTACATAAGAAAAGATATCCTTTTTTTGTAAATACACTTTCAGAAGCATCTATATATTATATTTATATCTAGAATTGAGTGAGATTTCAGGAGCATATAGAAAAATAAAAGATCAGCTAATTAATAACAGTGTTGTAGATATGCTGTAAATGAGCAAAAGTAAATAAATACAAATCACTGGTGAATGTGACTGAATTCCTACGAAGTATTTGAAAACGTGCCATCACGCAACAGAAGAAGGTAAAAAAAACCTCAGGTGTTTTTTGGGAAAAAAACTAAGCCTTCTCTTAAATTTGTATTCATGGGAGTCCTGTAAAAAAATACATTTAAAAAGTTAAATAAAATCTTAAATGTATAGTTGAGCCCTGGATATCATATGTGCCATTTGAAACATTATTATTATTATTATTATTATTATTATTATTACTTTTGGCCTGTTTGGAATGAAGGAAGAAAAGCTCAGCTGCAACTTTAAGATCCTCTTGCTCCCCCTCTGTCAGCTCCCATAATGGTTTTTTCCAGCTCCGCTTATCGCAGCATAATTCGCAACGTGCCATAATTTCCTCGCCGGCGTGCATGCGTGTGTGCGCGCGCGTTTGACCCCGGAAATCAGATGTCATCGCTCGACGCGGCTAATTTTAGATGATTACTGCTTCTCCTTCGGTGTTTCTCTGTGTGGAGAATGCCAGCAGCGGCGGGGACCAGCCGCACCTCCTCTTCTTCCACCGGATCCGCGGCGCCGCTGCCGCCGCCGCTGCCGCCGCTGCCCGCTCCCTCTGAGGAAGCCTCCGAGGACTGTCCGCTTCACGCTGTAGCTGGTAGGGACTGCAGTTGTGACTGATCCGCCGCCTGAGCCTCCGTTGATAGTAAAGGGATAAAATGTGAGTATGCACACTGTTGCAGCCGGTGTTGTGCTGACCTACATTGCCCCTGTTCCTGCAAGCTCAAGGTGATTTTCTGGTGCCCTCTTTGCTCTGGAGCCCGGCTCTGCTGGAGGTGTGGGATGCTCCAGAAGCAATCATTTTCATATCTGCGGTTAATGGCATTGCAAGACACTGCAGGGGGGAAACCAGAGCCGGCGGCTGTCACACAGCAGAGAGACAGCGGAGAGAGTTAAAGGTGGGCGGGATGCAGACTGAGAGGCTGGCATGATGTAATGCGCTTGAGACAATGGCCAAGGATTCTCCCCAATTATCATTTCAGAGAGCGAGGAGGAGCTGTTGCAGCGGTGAAAAGATGTGATCAGCGCCGCAGTCAGGCCTGTCTGCGTGCGTGCGTGTGTGTGTGTGTGTGTGTGTGTGTGTGTGTGTGTGTGTGTTTGCGCGGCTAATGACAGCATGATGAGGAAGTGTCATGTGAGAAACAGCTGCCCCTCCTTTAAACCACATTATTACCGGCTATTATGGTGATTCAAAGCCACAGAGAGCGCGGTGGAGTGGAGACTCTGCATTCAGCCACCTGTTTCTCGGTGGCCACGTTTTGACTAAACGAATGCAGAAATGGAAGAACACACACCTGCAAGTGTTGGCATCTTGTTAGAAGGTCAATGGGAAATCTGTTCTTTGCTATTATTATTTTTTTGCAAGTGCACCAGTCAGGGAGTAGGATGGGATTTGTAGCAGTGTTCTGTGCAAATGGCTCATAGAGGCTTTATGTCAAGTCAGGATGCTTCATTTAACAGCCGCTCCTGTTGCAATCTAAACTGCCTAATTTGTCTGGAGCACAGAAAATATTTATTGCCTTGAAGTAGAGAAGTGGCTACCTGTGGCTCGTGCTATTATGACTTTTCTATACGTTTAGTGACTATTGCTCAGACTTTCAGAGCAAAGCTGGTTGGAAATGCTCTCGATGATTCAGTTTTGTTGGAATAAGTTCAAGCTTGACCTTACTGGCCGTCTGTTCACCTTATTCAGTCTCCATCGATTCACACTTTGCACGACCTTGCTTAAGGGGGTAGATTGTGGCCAGCATTCAAGGCTACACATGGTCTCTTCATCCTTTCATGTGCATGTAGACTTACTTACAGATGAGCACACAATCAGTGAACATGCAGCCCTCATCATCCCCACAGATGCTCACCTGCAGGTAGATTTGAAGGTGCACTCAGTAGTAGAGCTGCAACAATTCAGCTTTTCCAGGCTGATAACTGTTTTTATTTCAGATCAGATCTGGTGGTTTATTTTTTTCCTTTTTAGATTTATTCACCATAGCATACAAGAAAATGTTCTCTGAGAGACCCTATTCATATTAATTCATCAAAGTGTGTCTGTAACCTTTATCTAAATTTAAATAAGAAAAATGCATTGAGGATAGGCTGTTGGTTTACAGTTTAAAAAAAATATTAGAAAAAGACAGATTTTCCAACGATTCAATCAGAATTTTATTATAACCGATCAATGGAAAATGATCAGATTTTGATCTCTGAGTTCTGTTAAGAACAACAACTTAAAAAAAAAATGAGTCACACATGATGTTACTCCTCTCCCTTTTCCTGTTTAGCAGCACGTGGAAATTCACACCCATCCTCTTCATCTCATCTATGTCAATCACATCTTACAATTCCACTCAGAATACAGCTGACCACAATATGAAACACAGATTTAAGTAAATATACATAATAAAAGTCTGCTGAATGTAGTAAAGATAAAAATAAACATTTCCTTTTGGCTTTTGAGAGCTGATAAGTTGTTGATTCCTTGATTTCAACAGCAAAATCAAGAATTGTTGCTTTTATGTTTTAAAAGACAGTAGTGAGTCAAGTTAAACCTTCTTGTTTTAAAGTTTTAATTACCAGGAACTTGAGTTTTTTTTTCCTCCAATATGTTCCTATTAGTAAGTGAATTAAATAGGAAAGTTTTTTTCAGCCAGCTGACCAGAAGTGGGAAGCAACATGTCAGTGAGGGGAAGCACACACGTCTTTGCCAGTCCAGATACCTTTTGACGTAAATATGTCTGCACCTTTCTGGGCTGCTTCTTTATTCAGTTTTTAATAGTGAATGTAATGGGAAAGTTCACACTAACATGGAAACATGCTCCTATTACGAGCTGAATGCCATCTGTTTTCAGATTGCAAGGAATCACGATGACATGTTTGTGTATCTTCAAGACAGATGAAAATTCATATTTCCTTTGAAAATACAAATATATGTGTAAAAATGTTATTCATCTTCACACTCTTTCTGTATTTTTTATTTTTTTTGCCTTTGAGGTGTGCTTTTTCTTCTGATGCTTCTACATCTTCTGTGCTTTTTTTTTTGCTGACCCTGTAAGTTTTAAATGAAACGAGCCGAGCAGCAAAAATATAAATAAATGTCAAACATAACAGTTTGACTGTATGGTTCTATGATTATATTACATTACATTTCTTACTAGTTCATAAAAAAATAACCTTTCCCTCTGCAAAAGCATTTCTGCTTCCATTATGAAACATACAGAAAACTAATAGCATGAAGGAAAAGTTCATCATGTATTTTTCTAAAACTACAGTAACTTTATTTTCAGTCTGCCTGAAATGCAGCGTGAAATAGTGAAGATATTCACCAGCAGTTTGTTCCTAGTGTTTAAGCAGTTCCCTCTGGGGTACTTTAAGGCTCAAACTGCCCCTCCTGACATAATGTGGAGAACCAACAAATCTTCTCAGATCCCCTCTTAAATAGCGAACATTCAAAAGAAACCTCTAACTGTCCTGTTGTCGCCAGAGGGTGGCAAACCTAGCAAGTCCTCCGTCTAAGAGCAACAATCAATCCATTCAGGAACAGAATGTCATGTTTCTATATAGGGAATCTAAAAAAATATTCCCAGGAGCTTTCTGAAAAATGGATGCCCTATTTTGTTTATTTATATCTTATCTTTCCAGTACATTTATCCTTATGTATACACGAGTGAGAGAGAAATCTTTTTTTCATATCTTCAGATGACTTTCTGATGTTTCTTGAGCCACAATAATAAAAAAATAAATAAATATTCATGGTGCAAACCCCAAAGAAAAACAAAAAAAGAAATATACTAACAGAATCTTACTCGAGGTCGCCTTTTTACTTGAGAAAATTAATAAATCATTCATTGTTCTTTGAGGTGCCTTTTTAGTTTTTTGGGGGGAGAAGATGACTTCTCCCCCCAATATCAGAGGTATAATTTCTTGCAGAGGGAGATTAAGTTGAAACCATATTAGCTATATGACTCTTATATCAGGTTTAATAATTCTGTAGAAAGGATTCCTAATTCCCACGAGCGTGTTAATTGTTCCTATTGTAAACATTTTTGCACATTACAAACACAATTGGGTTTTATTTAGATGTTATCCTTTAAGACCAAATTAGATTTCTGCATAATATTGTAATGGAAGGCAAAAAAATTGTAATTATTTTTTTTAATAAAGAAAAATAACATTTTTACCAACAGTGTAGCATGCATTTATATTCAATCTGTTACTGATACTAATTAATTACAATAAAATGTATTTCAGAGTAACCATTAGTGTTCAGAAGATAATTTGAATAGCACCCTTCTATCACAAAAGACACCAAGCAATGGTGTTCGGACAGTGACGTAGAATTAAAAAAAATTCAAAAATAAAAGACAAATCAGCCTGTAATTGTTCATTTGACAGTATTATGATGAGCTTTTTCTTTGCTGAATCATTGAAGTGTGTTCCAGTGGGAGTTCTAAAACAAAATACACCTGAATAGTGTTTTTTTTTATTTTATTATTATTTTATTTTTCTTGGCAGACGTGTCGGCCTTGTTGTCAGAGGCCTCTGTGGCGCAGGATGCCATATGAATGGGATTTCACAGCACCATGAGTCGTACCGTCCAATCTGGCCAGTTTCATTCACAAAAAATCTGCACAAGTCTTCTCCCACCTGTCAGCCTGACATGCATGCCAGGCTAGGAAGGAAAGACAAGCAGCAATTTTCCCATTACCCTTTGAGCTCACAAATGAAATCAATGGATGCACTTTGTGCTTGATTGTTTGCCAAGAAGTTGGGCATTATTTAAAAGTGGAATTTCCCCTTAATGCAGGGCTTGTAATCAGCTTGTACTGATGCAAGTTGAACACATTAATATCCAACAATTTCTCATCTTGTTGCGGGTTATTAGCATTAATGATTGAATCATAAGTTTTTTTGCAAAAGCTAGATTTCAAATTTATAACAATTTGTCCTATAATTGGCATTTGGGTATATTCTATTAAAATTTTAAATGACCATCCCCTTACTTAATCAATCTAAGGCATTAATTATGCCACTCTTCGTAATAAGAACCCCTTAAACACACTTGATTTATATTAGTCTTTCCAAAGTCAGCTCAACAAGCATGTAGCAGTGCAGCTTATCTCCAAAGCCACAGAGTCCCAGGTTCTGTTCTGCACACCCTCGCATGCTAGCACATCTTTTGATGTTTTCCAGGTGGTGAATTGTGCTGAATTTGCCTCACTTGGCTACAGAAAGCTCAATAATATACAGCTGTTTTTTTGTGCACCACTTCTTATCTGCTCACACAATTGTCACATAAATTAGATGAACTGAAGTCGTTTTGGGAAATTAACCACATCATGCAGATTTGCTCCTGCTATTATTGGCTAAATTTACATCTGTTTTTCAGTTTTTTTACCGGCTGCTTGAGTTTTATTTTAGGAAATGAAGTGTCCCAGCTTGGGTTTTCAGAACATCTCTGAAAGACCTTACAATCTTGCGACTACCATTCTACTCTCAGCTGTTTCTCAGCGTGCTTCTGTTAATCTTCTTCGTTTCTCAGCCCACTCTCCTGAATCCATGTTTTAACCAGGTAGTTTCTAAATGAAAACATCTCAAAAGCACATAAGCCCTTTTTGTTTTTTTTTCTGAAGCAAAGCACAGCTCATAAAAGATTGAAGTAGGGCTGCAGCATATTGGAAAAACATATGACTAGATATAATTGTGACATAGATTGATATAGATTGAAATTCTTGTGTACTTGCAGCTCTGGCTCTGACCTTTAGCATGCAAAGACCTGTAATGTGTACCAGGTGTGGGGAACTACTGCTGAGAATCCATCCAACAAGTATCTTAACACGCAAATGTGTTTATGACACTTGCAATGTAATAGCTAAAAATATTAAGTTTCCAAACCTGCTGTTGTGCTAATAATATTGTGCATACTGATATTTCAATGACAACATATTCAGAGTATTTTATGCAGCCCTGGTGTAAAATGAAGATGCACACATCAGATATTACACATAATGCTAAATACCATCATTGTGAATAAAAAAACAATTTAAAGTTACGTTAGATGTGGATCAAAGTCACATTTTCGGTGCCTTCACAGGATTTTATTTAGGGGTATCAGAAAGAAGTGAGTTGACTATGTATGCATGCTGTACTCTCTACATTTATACCTGCAATTAATGTAGAAAGCCATGGCACCACTTCACATTAATGGCATTAAAATTTGTAGGTGTAACATGACCAAATTGGCTTACTGTATAATTTTAAAATGCTAACTACTAGTTCCACATCAGCTGAGTCAAAGTGTGCTTAGTAGTTTTCATTTAATCCCCAAACTTTCTTCTGGTGTCAGATTTCTGAGTTTCATAAAGCTGCAAGGCTCGAAAGTTTCTCTGGATCTGCCACTCTGATTGGGGAGGGGAATTCTCCTACGCCTATGAATAATTCACTGATTGGCATATGGCATGCAGTGAAAATCCCAATAATTTTGCATGTTTATACATTTGCAATTCTTTTTCCTCCTTCAGCTCTTATGCTCCATTGAACATGACAAAATCACACGTTTATTGCTTTTCATGCATCTGTAGGTGTGTCTAAGTCAGAATATTATTGAAATGTTAATGTATTTCAATAATTCAATTCAAAAAGTAAAACCCCATTAGGTACATTAATTACACTAAGATAGATACATTTCTGCTAATTTTATGGCTACTAAATACACAAAAGTCAGTTTCTTGAAAAATAAGATCTTACACAGTACCTAATAAAAAGAAATAAATGTAAATGTGCTGCTGTGACCTTTTGACAGCTGATTTAATAATTATCCAAAGTCTTAATTCTGGAAGGTCAATAAGCTAGAAAACATTTTCCCTAAATTAGGTAAATAAACTAACAAATTTATGGGTTTTGAGGCTTTGAAAAATAATAAATCATCAGGATTCACTGCACTGAAAGGTGTAGAGTGACTGAGATTTAACCAAAAGGGGAATGAATGCAAAAAAAGGAACCGTGTGAGCTAAGTTTTATATAGCATCTGCTCAACACTTTGATTTAAGTACACAAATATGCCACTATTATTACATGCCAGGTGTTATTACGCATGCTGGTGCCTCAAATGCTTCTATTTGAAATTTACTGAAGCATGTGAGATTTAAAAGAAGTAATGTTTTACACGGTTTCAAGCACTGAGTCATGTACACGAATAAATCACTTCGTTCTACTTAAAATTCAAGAACCAATGTCCGAGACTCCCTGCCAACAAGTCTCCTCCCCAAGCGAAAGGCTTGCATGAGCAGCCGGTCCAGCCACAGCGTGCAGACAGTCTCTCTGGTCTAAACTGTAGCGGATGGTGTCTGAATGGGGAGCCAATCGGGAGCCTGGCCCGTCGCCTTGAGAAGATATGGCGGACCCACCTTAATGCCAGAACACGCTGAGGCTCACAGCCGGCATTGTTACACGTCCACAGGGGAACGAGGACGCTTCAATTGGATATTGAAATTTCACTAAATACACCTGGCTTAGGTCAAAGCACAGGGAATATGTTACCGCTAAGTTCTTCCAGCTCGTTTGGACATTGAGGACATTTTCGCCTCTGTGCTGAACGTCTGGCTGCCAAAGAAAAAATGACACATTTGAAATGTCCGTAAAGGAGAACTATACGTTTTCAGAATAAATTAAAGCTTTATTGCTCTGGTGGAAACATATTTTAGGATATCTACAAGTTTACAACTTATTATTCTTAAACTGCCATCCAAGTCTTCATAACTCAATTTCAGAAATAAATCTCATTATGAGGTTCAACATGTTTTTTGCTTTGTCATGTTTTCCAGTGTTGTGTGCAGTTTCGAATCTGTGAACTCTGGTAAATATTCCACTTTGGAATGTTTTGAATAAATAACTCTCTGTTGAAGTCAAATTTTTTCTACCACTGCTAACAGTTGTGCATCAGAAAAATTTGGCACTGTGCCTTTAACCTGCTGGTGAGAGGCTCGTTAGTGTAACACCACTCAGCTGGGCAAAGTGGATGTAAAACTAGAATATTTTCCTACTTCAATCCTTCCTCATTTAGCAAGTTCACAACATTAAAACGTATCGATATGAGGATTTCCTTCATATAAGTAAGTAAATACGTATCAAATATGTATTTATTTACTATTAAAATATTCATTTTATTTTAAATGAGCCTATATTTTACAGTTGTAAGCAGCTAAACCAGCTCCACTTTATTAAACCGAACATCCACTTGTTTTTTCTTAAACTGTTTAATTATTCATAATGTGTGTCATTTTGTGGCTCATTGCTTCATCTTATGATTATGACGTTCACTGATGCAAAAATGGTTTTGTCTCACTCGCCAAGCCGCCGGTGAGAATGGCTCCCTGCGCATCGGAAGGCCCTGCAGTGAGCTCAGAATATGGACTCCCATATCCGCTATAGCGTAGATATAGTGTATTATGTAACATGATCTGAGCTGCCCCAATAAACAGCACAAGCGTGAAATCTAGGGCAGAATGCCCAGCATCCCAAGACGTCTCTGTGAGCTTTGAGATACCGATGTAATGCTGAGCCAAGCTCCAACTGTGTCGGGCCCAAGCAATTACGCACAGCAGTTTAAACAACAGCATGTGGATATTCTCACAAACTCACATGCATATGTTTGCTTTACTCGGAACCGTATGTGCATACGTGATTCTGTCATATTAGCTCTTTGTTTGGGTTTTGCACTCAGGATGTTAACCATGTGAAAAAAGAACCAGAAAGTCTCAAACAGTAGTAGAGTTTATACCCTTTGCAAAAAAAAAAAAAAAGACAAAGTTTTGGCATAATTAATGGAAAATAAACAAAGTTCAAGTTGCATTTTGTATGGAAGGTGCTTTAATCTTTATGTAAACTCAACTCTTTATTCTCCTGACTAGAGCCAAGATGATGTGCGAAGTGATGCCCACCATCAGCGAGGACACGGCGCTGAGCCAGCGCGGCTCGCAGAGCAGCGCCTCGGATCCGGACTCCCACTTCGAGCAGCTGATGGTCAACATGCTGGACGAAAGGGACCGACTCCTGGATACGCTGAGGGAGACCCAGGAGAGCCTGGGACTGGCTCAGCAGCATCTGCAGGACGTGATCTATGACCGAGACTCCCTGCAGCGCCAGCTCAGCTCTGCCCTGCCACAGGTAGGACACAACGACGGAACAGAAAATCGAAGATTTTAAATTTGCTGTGTATGCATTTATTTATCTTTATTACCAAATTCTTAATCTCATATAGGTTTTTTAAAATTTTATTTAAGAACATTTTTATTGATGAGGTTTTTTGCGTCATTGGTCTAGAGCATTCCCTTTGACTTCTACCTGCTTCTGAGCTGATGGTGACCCTCTTTTTCAAACTAATTCAATTACAGTAGTTTATTAAGATGAAATAGTTACATTCCAAAATATATGAGCATGTTATGTAGACTATTATGTTTGAATGCTGTGTGACTGCAGCAGTATAGTCTTTGCACATTGTCAGTCAAAGATATGCATCCCTTTACTGCCCACTTCTAAATGCTGTGCAGATCAGGCAGCAATGCTATTTTTGTGTTTGGAAAACTGAAATCTGAATCAGTTCTGTGACTTTGGTTAATCAACATGTTTCTTCATCTGCAAGATGCTTAAAGTTTTGACTTTTATGAGAAAACCTTTGGTAAGAATTGTCATGTACTTAGTTTAGTACTCAAATTTTAATTTATTCTCATTCATTGTGTAAGATTTATTGCTCTGTAGGACTAAAATGTGGGTATATTTAGTAATTAAATATGCATTACTTATATATAGAGTGAAAACATTGCATTAAGAAAAGAAACATCAAAACTTGATGTTTCTATATTGGGAGATCCCAGTGTGTTTAAGCTAGTAATGTAGTCAATCCCTGAAGTTGTCAAGTTTGCTAACCTTTATATAACTAGACAGTTACAGAGCTATCACTGTCTTGGGTGGTTGCTCACAGGCTGCGAATCTAATCTGTGTAGATTATAGTGATGAGATGAAAATGTCGATGCACTTAGTTCATTTTTGCACAATGTGAGGAAAGAGAAAGATCTTACATAATATTTCCTTTGGGAAGTGGAGATTAGCACTTTTAGAAAGATCCAGTAAGTCTTTTTACTCTGATTCTTGGACACTTGGGAGTTTTTTATAGACAGAGAATTGACTCTGTTCACATTTGATGCATCACATTTAATCCACATGGTTTTAAAGATCCATGACCTCAAACAGTTAATCTGTTTAGCATGAAAAGTTTACCTTTCTGTGTTAAATTAACCCAGAGACACAGTGTTTTTATTTTGAAATAGCTTATTCAGGTCTGCAGCATTGAATGATTTTTCACAACTTAACACCCCAGCTAAGGTACTCCATCCTGTCAAAGTGAAATAACATTTCCATTATCAGACAATTTCTCTGATCTCCTCTGACAGTAAATCACTGTTGTGATGTATTGTTCATCATAGTGTAATGACAGAGCTGACATACTGCTCAAGCGCCTCTGCTGGTGTCTGGCTTGAATTAGCTGTCAGTGAGATCCTGCTAGAAATGTCCTGGCACAAACCATTCTGTTAATTAATCTGCTGTTTTCTTATTGGCCTGTATAATCTCCATCTTAGTTAAATGGCTTGTGCTGCAATTTTTTAAACCTGTAATCATACAGAGACTTTTTTGCCATGGACATGTTTTAACAGTTTTCTGCTGTTTTTTTTTATTTATTTGAATGTGATGGAAGCAGCCAGCACTACTGCATGGGCGTTGTGTGAATATCTTGATTTAGAAATAAACTCTAATGATTTTTGCTATGTGTGGAAATCAGTAAATGGATGTATCATGCACATTTTTAGTAGACTTGTTGTTGAATTAGAGCCCAGTAGATTGCTTTCCAGTCCTTCTTTTTATTCGGTAGCAGGGTAGGTGATGAATGAGAAGAAGCAGATTTTTTTTGGAAAAGAACTGGCCTCATTTAGGGAGTAGACAGCCTGGAAATGTGCTTTTACTGATATCACTCCCTTGTTTCTAAAGCCAAGAGCTCTAGCATGATGAGATGTACCATAAACTTCCTTTTTTCCTGTTGGTCTCCCCACCTCGCCTTCATTTCTCTGTTTCTGCTGTCTTTGGCTTTTCTGTTATGTGCTGTTCTGCCCTGTGTCTCTTTCTTTTCTCCTTTTTATTCATTTCCATCAGAGGTCACGGCTCTCCAGCTCACTATGACACTTTCGACTGATGGGTGACATTTTCTATCCCCACTAGGAGCTTCCAGGGACACTCCCCTCCCATCCTCAATTTCATGCATAACAATCCAGCAATACCCATACATTCCCCTCCTCATCTTCTGGCTTTTATATTTTCTGTTTTTGTTTTTACTGAGCTGAGGAATGGCATAAGCCACCATTAGCTTTACAAGTCACTGCAATTATTGCAGAAGAGCTGTTGTGGATGTCTACTTAAAAATCAATATCCATGCATAATCAACCCTTTAATTAAACGCACACTTTGGGTATGTTGTGAAAGCCGCAGTTGCAAATGCATCTGAAAGCAACACAGACACATTGCAAAAATATGTGAGATATTACATTGCAGCACCAGCTGAAACAAATTTGAACCCGTAACCTCCTGTTTTCACAATTGCTCTTCTTGGCTGTTGATCCGTATTTATGCTCAAAATTATAGTGCTTGTTTAAACAACAACAACAAAAAAACAAGCTTATTGGTGTGTTACGAATCTTGTGATAGAAGGAATCAGTTATAAGGCCAATCGAATGCTGCTTTGTATTGATATTTAGTCGCATTGCCTTATGTAAGCCTTATTTAATAGCTAAAAAAAATACGTGGCTACTATTCTGTACCCTACTCGGATAAGGAAGCAAATCCTAATGACACAAATCCACAATGTCTTTCTCTCTGGATTTTCTTTTTCCAACAATATTCCATAAAATCTTACACCTTATTTGCCTTTATTACATCCAGTAGGTAAACAGCTGTCTAGTACTATACTAACCTAAACTTGGTGGCAAGTGGCTATAGCATCATAGGAAATGCTAATAATCAAAGACTAAATATAACATTAAGTTTGGATAAAATAATTTAAAAATAAGCGCTGAAAACTATTTGTGTGATGCTAGAGGTTGTTTAAATGATTGTGATGCTGCTTTTTTACCCATAGCTTGCTCCTTTTAATTCTTTCGTTCTCACTTGTACTCGATGGACTCGGTTCTGAGAAAGTGGAAGGAGAAGACACACAGAGCGTGTAGTCAAACGATTGCCTGGAGTACGATGTAACCCTCCTTCATCCCCCAGTGACCCCTGTCGTGTCACAGACGAGCGAGCTGGCGGACCAACAACATTCTCCGGAGCACTCATCTGTGCATTACTGTAGAAAGGCCCCGCGGGCCACAGCCAGCTTCCCATGCTGGCTATTTCCTATTGCCAAACACAGTTCATGAAGACTTCTGCTGCAGCTAATCCTCCTCACTGCCACCAAGCTGCAGTCCTCCAGAAATACACGTCTTATCACCTATTGAACAGATGTTCTAGAGGAGGGATCCTGGCTCTTGTTGACCGGAAAGTGCAACATCTACAGGCTCTGAGTTTGTCTGTGTGACCACAAAAATGGTCACCAGGTGTTCTGACAAGCCAAGACTGATACTTGTATCTAATAAGGTGATGAAAACACAAACTTCAACAATAGCTGCAGTTGGGTTTATGTTTATAAGGTGATCAAATTATTTTTTATTAAAAAATTTTTCCAAGGAACTATTCCTTAAAGTTTTCGATTCGGACAATGAAAGATTTAAAACTCTTGTTTATGGAGGTTTTCTGCACCTTCAGCATGACCTTACAGCCTCCAAATGTTAATCTAAGTGCTATTATCAAGCCAGTGATGCAGTAATGAGACACCAGCCAACACCACTGCTGTAGTGAAAGCTAAGACTGGACCAAATTGCTGTATACAACAGGGAATCGATCTGTGGTTTTCTCATTCATAGCTTGTGCACCTGCTGTAGTACGCACTGATTCTGTCTGTTTTCTGCACATATCTGCCATGATTGCTGATTAAATTTGGCAGCGAAATTATAGTTTAATTCATTATACTTGCTTTTACAGTTTGCAAACATTTTAGAAAAAAAAAGATACAATGCAATCCTTCAAAAGGATTTAATTTACATTTTTTTATGCTTACATCCCAAAATTAGCATTTATTATAACGGATTGTGGTAATCTGTGGATCTCTCTGGTGGTGATTAGTGAATACAGAGTGTATGTCAGTTCAGTGACAGGAGGGAGGAAGAGCATATGACGAAAGCTGTGTGTAGAAATAAAGGTGACTAAGCTTGTCCAGACGATGGATGGGGAGCTGGATCCATCCACCGTCTTCCCTTCGTTTCTCTGCTCACCGTTTCTTTTGCTGTTGCTTGTACTGCAAACACCGAGGGCTTCAGCAGCCGGTCAGCTGGTCTTCTCCGTCGGAGCAGCACATGATTTTCCATGATTACTGTTATTGTTTGTGCCCCAGTTCATTGCGCCTGTAGGCTGGATGTGTGGCTGCTGCACCTCAAGACGAGAAAAAGCCTTGAAAAAGGAAAAGCATTGATGCCTGACTTCTCTAAAGTCAAGTGCTGACAGTCTTCAGAACATATAGGTATAAATCTGAGACAGATGATGTCATGCAGAGAAACGTAACATTTGTCTATTCACTGTAATCTTTTGTTCTGTACACAGTGGCCTTATTTAGGACTAATACTCTGAACTGTTTCTGCATTTCTCAGTTTACAGCCACAGCTGTTAATATATTTCATATGAATTTTACTTGACCTGTCAGTTTATCAGTTTAGGTGGAGTTTTGTCGGTTCTTCAGATGATGGATCAGTGCAATATGAGATCTTTAACGTTTTGCTTTTTATTTTATAAGCTAAACTTCAACTGTATTGCTGTCCTTTTGCTTCAACTTCATGATGTTTGTTGACTATTATCTAACAAACCTTTGATGTCATCGAAGAACAGCTGAATTTATACCCTTATATTTTGAATAATGTATGCTCAGATGGAGTATAAATATAAACTAGGTGATTTTAAGAGGAATTTTATTGGAGGTCATACAAATTCAAATTCAAGCCACTTTTAGATATTTCTTAAGAAAAACTAAAAAT